TTACTACATGTAAACCGGAAGCCCGGATGCCATTACGATCGGAAAACATCGATTTTCCGCAATTCTGGACTTTCTAGGCCTTTTAAAGTGATTGCATCCGGTTACGCGCTTAAAGGGATGCCCAACCTTTTCGGGGCTCAAAAAGCAAAAACCATGCCGCAGGCGGGGTCGAGCCCGGGACCCCCGCTTTGTAGGCCTGGATACTATCCATTAGGCCATAGTGGCAGGCCATTGGGTGGGATGGGGAAGCCACAAGTGGGAAAGGTTGCCGAATTCTGTGCGGCAATGTCCCGCCATTGCCGCACAAAATTCGCGCGTCATTTGTACTGCCCGGAATCCATAACTATATATTTGCCGCCAAAACCTTGGGTATCCCTTTAAAGGGACTCCGAAGTCTTGTCTACGGCCCCACGCTTGGATTCCTGGCAATTAGCAAGATGCGATCGCCCCGCATTTTCTTTTGCCACAGTTTGGACATAAAAACGCTTGGATTTCAAAATTCTGACGTTAGTTCTGGATTCCTCATCGAATTTTGATCATTCTAGACTCTTTAATCATGGCGATTGATCAGAGAATCAAGGCATTACGACATGTAATCGCCGCCCACTCAAAACGCAGATCGCTGTCTGCGTTTTCCGCGGCACGCGCACGCCGGCTACCTGCCGCGACTTGCCGACCGCAACGCTTGCATGGCTCCTGGAAAAAGCGAACTTTCGGAGTTCTTTTAGGGAACTCGATTTTAGGCATGATCACCAATCCCCGCATTTTAAGGATGCGTTGATGCGAGAGGCGCGAGAAAAGTTTTACGAGCAGTGGAACCATCGAGTGCTTATCTGGACGATTTATACAGCACCACAAATGTTGCAGATCATCCGGGTGGGTCTCATTGATGTTGTTACGTCACACACACACACGCCGCTGCGCCGGTCGATTGCGGATTTTGTTTTGGGCCTAAATTTGGAGACCGCCAACACGTAAATTATGACGCTGTTTGGAAGGGACGAGCGTTTGTCAAGTCGTTACAAGCGAAATATTTAGATTGGTTCTTATTCGTTATTTCAGGAAATGTTGGAGCATCGTGTTGGGTTAACGAATGGAAGGATGCGGACTGTAGCTATTCTCGTTACCGACATTGACAATCAACCACAACATATCGTAGGTTCTTTACAGCGAGGGAGAGCAACAGAGAGAGAGAGAGAGAGAGAGAGAGAGAGAGAGGGGAGCGTGAGAGAGAAAATTTTCTTATAGTAAAATTCAAAAGTTAAAGTTGTGCAGGAAGTTCCGGTCAAAAAGCAAAATAAAAAAAAAATCGTGAGCGGGTTCGAACCCTCGTCGGTATTCTATCAAGCGAGTCGCTTACCACTCGGCCATCCAACTGGTGATTCCATAGTGATGGGAGGGCCTTATAAACCTAATGCTAATTTTCGGATGTAAATTATCATTTTCCGGAAGTGCTGTATCTCTGTCCAGAGGCCCATTAAGGAAATTCCGACTAGAGCGTTGGAATCGCCACGGTCGAAAACTTAGGGGTAGCCGCGAGCGTTTTTCGAAATTCCACTGTGCCAACTTGAGGTTCCCTTGCTAGTTACTGGAATAGTTCCGATTCAATTCTTTGCATTATTCGGCATTTAACAAGTAGTTAGCGCTATTAATAGCGGTAGTGGTTTTTTTCCTATGGTAACTTTATGAGCTTATGAAAGATGGCAGAGTCTAAAATTTGAGAAGCCCCAGACAAAAACGCAAAAATAATAAAAATCCCTGGTGCTAAAAACTTGTGATTTTTATCATACAGACTATTGTGATCTCAACAGATATATGAAAAAAGAAACAAACGTAGGGGTCCACAAAATGATTAGCAAGAAATTTCCGAAGTTCAATTATAAGGACTTTCGGTTCAACTTAATAACAACAATCATTTCAGGATCTGGCAACACAAGCCGGGGCGCTGACCGTGGTTGAAAATACATCGAAGGCTGCCCTTCATATGCAGGCCATCTTTCACAAATATGTTGCCTCGGTCAATTATTTTCTGGGTTATCGGACGTAGCTGCTATCTTACCCGTTTTGGCTCGAGTACCTCTTTGGGCGTATCACAACGGCTCCGATTCATGAGCGCGGGATGTTTATCGGTCGTAAAAGTAGATGCGTGTAAATTTCTGAATATAATTTTTCGGGGACTACTTGATCGGGACTCGGTAAAGCATCAAAAAAAAATATGCTACGAACTTTATTTTTAGTTCAATTCACAATAATTTAAGAAAGTTATCATAAATGTTTTCGAAATTTGGATATTTTTTCTGTTAGCGCTATTCGATGGAGCGTCAAAAAAAGTCGACAAGTTTTTGATGCAGCTCAAAATAATGTATTTTAAGATAAGGAAGCATTGATAGAATTTTTTCCCGATAGATCCCCCCCCCCCTAATAACGAACCAGAACCTTCAAGTCTTATGCGAAAGGGGTTACGAATGCAACTAGCACAAGTTGAATCCCAGCTTTATACCGGGTGTTCCAAAAATGATTGCGCTTGCGCGCGCCATTAGTCGGTTGCCGAAAAATGGTCGTGTTTAATAATAAAAAGTGATAAAAAGTCCCAACTTAGAGGTCTTTTTCGCAAATCAAAAAATGTTTCCGTGTGCAAAAAAAGCGTTCTTCATTTTTGCTAACATTTCGTGGTCGGCACCCGCCCAAACCCCCGTGATTTTATTTTACAATATTTTGCTTAGAAAGTTTCGCTACAAATGGTTTTTATGGGCGGTAAAAATTTGGTCCCGATTGGATAAAAGACCGAAAAATGCCTACTTTTTGTATTTATACCAGCGCTGACCCCCCCGCATCCCACAATTTGAATTTGAAATTTGAATGCAAAATTGGGCTGAATTCCCGGTCGGTCGGCGGTCGGGCGCACGGACATTAGAAATTTATATATAGTAGATAGTAGATATTTAACGTGCCCTTTTCATACTTCTTTTTTTTGCAGGAGTTCGGTCCGGAAATCGATACGACGTTCTTTCGATTCGAACCTCCACATAACGGTCAGTCATTAGAAATTGCGAGAAGCCAATTCCCGACATGATTTTATCGGAAAAAGCTGCACGCAAGATTCCACCCTTCCCACGCTCCCGAAATTGTGTTGGCCTTTCAGGTGTGGTGCTGATGATCCGACGACATCTTCCTGATGCACGGCTTGCTCAGTTACTCAAGGACGGCATTTTTATGTACCCAACTCTTTCCGACTCTTTTCGTCGTCGTCTATGTTCTGTCGAGCAAGTGACCATGTCGCTTATCACCTTCCCAGCCGGAAACACTCGCTAGAATTATCATTAATGCCGCCGAATAAACTTTTTTTGCAAGACTCCGGTCGAGCCGCGTTCTTGAAAAGCTGGCCCAAGTGGTCTTTTATTTATTTATTTATTTATTTATTTACCAGGGTTGAAAAGCCGCTTGGCGACTTTTCAACCCTGGCCCCGTGCAACCCGATGATATCCCTCGCTTTGCATAAACCTTGCGCATTTTTATGTCAAAATAAGGAAAGCTGACGGAAGTTGCATACTTCATTTCAGTGTCGAAAACAATCGATTTTGAAAAATCTGATATGCGTGCAGTCATCTACAGGCCATTAAGCGTCTAATGACGTATCATACGCCCCCTTCATCCCTTCCGCTCATGAGATATCCTCCGGACACGCTGACGGAAGTTGCATGCAAAGTGTCATCACACACAGACACTATTTTTTTATATATAGTGGGATTTTAAGTAGCCTATCTTGTAGAGAATTTTTCTGATTCAAATGGTATATTTGATTAGTGCGCTATTGCCGATCGACGATGGTTACAGGGGTGAGAAATAGGCTGTTTTTCACCATTTCCCACAAAAATCGCAGTCCATATCGTCGATTTTTCGATTTTCAACAAATTTTAGTTAAAAAGCTCATTCGATAGAGAAAATCTTTCTGAATACGGTAACGATATTCATTTTTGGATATTTCATTTTTCAACATAATGGACCCTAAAGATGGGAAAATTTGGGCTAAAATGATCATTAAATTGCTGTAACTTTTTAAATCGAGCTATTTAGCAAAAATAGAAAACATATTCGGAACCAGCGCAAAATAGGCCTGGTTTCCACCCAAAACTCCATTCACACCAAAAAACGTCTCCTTGTTGGCGAGATTTGCGCCCAATGTGTTCCCAAAAAGGGCACAAAAGACCCCTCTAGGATCCCCGACCATATAACCCGTTCGGCAAACCGAAAAGAAAACTTTTGGAACCGATTGACAAAAGGCGAGGCACCTTTCCACGAATTCCTCTCTAGTTCTAAGCAACACAAACGAAAAAACTGTAGCAAGTTTCTTTCAAATTGTGAGCGCCGCGTCTTCTCCGGAAACCCACGGCGGATTTTTTCGTATCTCAACTCTAGGCCAAAAACCCTCGCATCGGCTCTGATGAACAGAAGTTTCGCAAAAGTATTTACCAAATCTTGACCACACACGCTCTGGGCCAAATTCCCCTGCCTTAGTTGACTTAGAAGACCCGACGTTTCCAGCTTTTCTGTTAACTCTAACCGACGTAGAAAACGCTTTCAAATTACTAGAGCCCAAATTTCACTGGACGCCTGAGAATTTGCCAGCTTTCATTCTAAAAACTGTTGTAAAACACGTTCCAAAGATGTTGAAATTTGGTGTTTTTCACCGAGGAATCAAACGACAAAAGATATAGCGGGGATAAATAAATCTTTAGCTATTTGTGGACAGGGTAGAGGGAAGGGACATAAGATTGGCGACTTAACTCTTTTGCACAAAACAACAAATAGCAATAAAAGAAACGAGATTGAGCAGAGAGGGGTCTGGGCCACGATTTCATCGGAAAACGAACGAGAAGTTGTGGGTGTCATCTTTTTGGGATAGAAATGGGTAGCCGTATTGGAGAAGTGGGGATGTGACATCATTTGGAATGCCGAATGAGGAGCGAGGGTGGATTGGCATGGCTCATGTTGGCCGCTTATTTTTTCGACTTCTTCGACGAGCGCGAGAAGAGCGACGAGAAACCGCGGCGTCCTGAAAAATGGCCAATTAGAGGCGCCAGACAATGTAAAATGAGGGCCCGGAACGCGGTGCGGTCCAGCCTATAGACAGCCGAAAACAAAAGCACTTACTTGAGCCTTTCACAGAAGCCTCGTCGTCCGTCTCCGAATGGCCTCCATTCTGGCTGGACATCGTGGCGGTGGCAGCGTGCGGGTTGTTCTGCTCCTCGACCCACGAGATGCATTGGGAGCCCTCGTTCACTGGAAAAAGCAATATATAGGTAAATGGTCAAAGCCAAACCTCGCTCCCTCGTCTCCGACCTCTCGTAGCTGACCGTCTGACGATACTCGTGCTAAAAAACCGTTCCGAGGCAAAAAATTGATCACTAACATGACCATTGAAGCTGGTGTGCGACTGCTGGGTGGAAGCTCGTTCTCGGTAGACATCAGGAAGGCCCCCTAGAATAGAATACTTATAATCAGGATATATAAATATAAAAAGAGTGCAAAGTCATTCAAGCATTTGTCGTTCCTTGATGCAGGCGAAGAGGTGCTCGGCGCCCCCTGCGTGCTCAGCCTGAAAAACAGCAATTTTTTTGCGGGCAAAAATAATTGTGCGTCCAGTTAGTTCGGTTGACATGCGGTTACGAGGTTACGCTGCAACGCGTGCCATTGGACGACTTGCGACAGGTAGGATTCGCGCAACTTCCATTCGCTTTTTAGCTGCTGATAGGCCCGCTCGACTTGTTGCAGACGAGCACGGATCTCGTCGCTGGCGTAGTGCTCGGCCGCAATCATCTTTCGGCCCGTTCCGTCGAGCTTGGCAAATTCGGGAGCGCGGGCCTCGATCTCAGACTGCAGCCGCGAGTGCTCTTCCTTCAGCCACTGCGCGCCCTGGCGGTCGTGGAGTTGTTGCTCAGTTTGCATGTCGGCCACCATCAGGTCGCACCAGGACAGAAGATCCCGGACCTGAAAAAGTTGATATAGCCATTTTCACGGAAAGCTTGAGAACAAGATTAGTGAAATTAGTCGCCCACCTCTCCCAAAAAGCGATGGAAGTCGTAGGCAGCCCGCAAGCGGTCCTTTCGGTTCAACGTCGCCTCTTCGAGCTCTTGCCAGCCCTCGGTGAGTGTGATTTGCTGCTGGGAGATATGGTCGGCATTGCCGCCAGGGTAAGCTTCCTTCAGACGAGCGCTTTCTTGCAGCAAATGGTCGAGGCGAGCCTGAAATTAATTAATTTATCATGTGCGTGAAGCGTCGTTGGCAAGCAACGCATTGTACTAACAACATAAAATAAATTATATATCGTACCTTCATATCGACCAGCTGCTTCTCGAAAGTTTCGTGGGCTTGCCAGAGCGAATGCACTTGCTTCACGTCACGGCCAAGCTCCGTCGGCATGTTGCTCAGCTTTTCAGCGACGCGCTGCTCATGCTCGGCGACGTCGCGGTTGAAGCGATGGAGTTCTTCGGCCGCCTTCAGCTTTTGCTCACGCGATTCCATGTATTCGACGAGGAGGTGCCAGACCTACAAAAAGGGTCTCATCTAAATAAACACAAAACTTACCGTCCTGAGTCGTTCTTGCCTCTTCAGCACATCCCGGGCAAACGGCGTGTTGCGACGAAGAATAGAGTTGGCCGCTTGCTCGCAGGAGACGAATCGCTCGCTACCCGATTTGACCGAGGTGCGGAAGTTTTCGAAGCGCGTCCGCAGGTCCATCAAATGGTCGTAGTCATCGCCGTATTCTTCGCTCATCGCCGTCTGCAGCTGCTCGTTGATCCACTGCTCCAGCTCGGCGCTTTCCCTGAAAAAGATAAATTTGAGAAACCAATATAGACTAAATGACCCGGACAATAAAGAATTAAAAGAAAACACACCTCAGGTATTCGTGCAAACACAGCGTCTCTTCCAGCAGCGCGCGACGTTTATCGGCCAGCTCGGAAAGACGATCGAATTCGGCCTCAAGGTCGCGTTGCTTGTTGGAGAAGCGGTCGACGTGGGGCCGATGGGAGTCGACCAACTCGGCGCACTTCACAGCCAGACGCTCGACCCATTGTCTGAAAAAAAGAGTTGAGTGAGAAGTGGATGGGGACGCCTACTTGTAAGTGTTCATATCGTTTTGCAGAGCCTTGTGCCGGGCGAGAAGCTTCTGTGCAGCGTCTTCGTCTTGTCCGTAATCCTGGGATTCGATCAGGATCCGCTTCTCCGCCATCCACGACTCGACCTAAAAACTAATTTTTGACAATTAAGCAGTTCATACCTCGGCAGCGTCAAACATGTATTGCTGCTCCTTCACACCCCAGTCGACGATGCGCTTGCGGCGACGAACGAGCTGCTGTAGGTGAGCCCAGGCGCCGGCCAGTTGATCACACTTTGCCTTGATGTCAGCCTGTGCTGCGTGATGTCCCTTGATGAGGTCGTCACCACGATGGATGGTGCCCTCGATGTGGCGGCTATGCTGATTGACCTCGGCCTCGAGCTGCTCGTGCTTCTTCAAGACGTTCAGCGCCTCGGTCAGGGTGCGGCCCGTATCTTCGGAAGCGGCCAGCGGCTCCTTTTCGGCAATCCATTGGAGTTCGCAGTCGACGTCAAAGGCGAGTTGGTGCCACTTCAGGGATTCCTCGAGCGCCGTACGACGTGCTGAGCAAGGGCCGGTCAACTGCTCAAAGCGGCGGAGGAGGCTCTTGACGGTAGAAATGATTCGAGCCGCATCGAAATGGCCTTCGCCAGCCATCACATTACCACGGCGCGAGATCTCCGTCAACTAAACGCAATTTTTTTGAAAAGTGGACACAGCGCCATACCTTGTTCTCGTAGAGGTGCATTTCCTGCTCAACGGTCGTGTGCTTCTGGAGGAGCTCCTTGACGCCGCGCAGGTCGTTGCCGACGTCTTTATCTCGCAGCGACTCGTCGATCTCGTCGAGCTTGGCGTTCGCGTCATCCAAGATGCGGTTGAGATTCTAGAAACGGCAATAATGTGACTGAAGAGCGTTATACCTTTTGGTCGGCGGCCTGCTTCAGCTTTTCGCCCTTGCGCGCGGCGGCGTCTTTGAGCTCGGCCCACGACGCGTTAACGCGCTCGACGAGTTTCTGGATGTTCGGCGATTCGTAGTGGTGGCGAGAAACGAGCATTGCGCCATCCTGAAAAATCAAATTTTTTAAATTCGGAAGTGGCTGGGATGGCAAACGAACACAAAAACAGACCTTGTTGATGTTTTCGACGCGCTGCGTGTTGGCCTTGATCTCTGCCTCGAAAGCCTCGTGCTTGAGCAGCTTGATGTCGATCGTGTGCAGGTCGAGGTGAGTGTCGTCGAGCGCCACCTTCTTCTTGTCGCCGATCCACTGGAGCATCTCGTCTCCGTCACGGCGCAAGTTCTGGTATTCCAGGGAGGCCTCGAGCTGGGCACGGCGCTTGGAGGCGGCGCGACGGACAGCTTCACGTCTTGCCAGAACCTCGTTTCGGCGCTAGAAATGAATCATAAGCTTAGCAAATAAAAAAAAGTTACATCATGGATGTATGTGCTGTCCGCGTGCTTCAACCGGATCAGCTCGTCGGCGTTCTTGCTGAAAGCATCGAGACGAGCCTCTTGCGCGTCCAGCTTGGCCTCCAAATCGCGATGGCGCTTCAAGAGGTTCTCAGCCGAGTCGACGGAATCACCCAGGTCCTAGATGGTAATTGTGTGATTCAAGAAGCACCGGCTACCTTAAAATCAAGGAAAGCTTCATGGCCCTTGGTGGCCGCATCGATGCGCTCGGCCTCGCGATTGTACAACTGTAGGTCGAGCTGCTGCTTGAGGTGTGCATGCTAAAAAAAAACAAGGATTCAATAACAATTGCCGGCTTAATACCTTCGACTTCCAAATGTTGGCAATCTCGGCCATGGCGTACTGGAGTTGTTCCAGTTTCTCCTTGACCACGTTCAGTTTCGGGTTCTTGACGAGCAGACGCCGTCCGAGCTCTTGGACATATTCGACGGCGTATTTCTTGTCCTAAGAACGATTACGTAAACTTTCGACGGTTCTATACCTTGATTTGTTCACCCAATTCGACGTACTTCTTGAGCATGTCCTCGGCGGTCTGCACGTCGACGGGCCGTTCCATGTCCGAGAGCGTCTTCTTCGTCTTTTCGATCCAGGCGTGCATTTCCGCGAGCGCTCCATCGAATATTTCCTGGCCTAAAGAAACTGCTAATTGCCACAGGGTCAAGCCTATACCTTGCGTCTCTTCGGCCAGCTGGATCTTTTGGCGGGCTTGGCTGAGCAGATCGGCGTACATCCCGCGCAGCTCGTTGATCTTCTTTTGGATGACGGCGGCCATTTCCGGGTTTGACTTCTTGACGCGCTCCGCCAGCTCTTCGAGAGACTAAAAATAAAAGTTTAACCAGGTATCTTCAAAACGAATAACACTCAAAACTAAAGGGAGAAAGGAAGAAAAACCCACCCGGATCTTGTCCTCCAAGGGCTTCAAGTCGCGCTCCAAATTCTGCAACGACTTGAGATCCTGGGGCTTGCGGTCGATCAGATCGAACTTGGCCTTCATCCAGCTCTCGGCATCGGCGCAGTTGGCATTGAAGTCGGCGAGCTGCTCGAGCGTCTGCACGCGAGCCGTTTTGTTGCGGAACAGCTGGTCGATGTGGGCCCAGAGCTTGTTGACGGCCTGCTGGCGGGCGACGATTTGGCGCGTCTCGCTGTGCCCCTCGGCGGTCAGCTCATCGGCCATGCCGTTGATACGCCTCAGCTGGGTGCCTCCATTCGCGGCGATGTCGTGCTCGAGCTTGTCAAGCTTCTTGCGGAACGCCTCAATATGTTCAACAGAGGGCTCGTCCGAGAGCACGTTCATCGTGTCTTGAGCCCACCTAAAAAAAAGATTATAAAGGCGAAAATCATAGATAGAAAATAAAATAGTTCTTTAGCATTTTCAGTGACGGGGCCTCAATTTTGTACCAGGGATCCAATTGTGTTTCTAATTGTTTTGCTATTCCAAAACGTCAAAAGCTTAAAAAAATCTATTCGAACTAAAAATATCGATTTTTCACCGGAATGTCAAATAGCTGACAGTTTTTAAAGTTTTCTAATCGTTTTCCACTTCAAATGTCGACTAAAAAGGCACCAAAAACTTGCTATGACGTTACTAGGCAAAACTGGATATATAAGCAAAAGTGTAGATCGCCCAGAAATACTAGAGTACAGGCAAAGAATTCAAAGCAAAACGCACGTCTCGAATTCGTCGCATTCACGGAAGAAGCGCATCAGCTTGATGTTGTCGCTGAGCAGCCGTTTCCTGACTTCGGCGAGCTTGTTCAAGTTGCGGTCGCCCATGCTGATGGCTTGCTGGCGAGCCAGGATGTCGTTCCTGCCGTCGGCCGGCTCTCCGCGGTGAGACTTGGTAGAAGAAGTGGCCGTTGTCTGGGCGATGGTGACAGTTTCGCCGGGGATCAGTCGGCAGTACGTAGCCGGCACATATCCCTCCTTTCCATTCTGTTTCAGCACACACCACCAGTCCGGGTTCGACTTGTCGATGAGGGCGACGATCTCCTCTTTCTTGACCTCCATCCCGTTGCCAGAGTACTTGTACAGCATCTCGACCTAAACGAAGAAAGATTGTAAGGGAAGATTGGATTGGAAGATCAAAACTCCGGCTAAAGCCCTCAGAAATCACCGAAAAAGTCATTTGAAAGCTTTGAAAAGTTTGCCAGGAAAAAAGCATGCATTTCTTGACAGAAACCCCCCCCCCATTTTACAAATAAGCGCCACCTTTTTCTCTTCGCATACGTCTTCGACCTTCTATTAAACAATTCCAATCACGTAATAAAAAGTATACCTGTGGCACGACGGTTTCTTCAGTGTCCACCTCGGTCGCATGGATACCGGTCATCAAGTTGGTGCTGGCGATCTGCGTAGCCGATTCCTCCAGGCGAACAATATCCGAACTAAAAGAACATTGAAAAGACGCGGCAAAAACTGTTACCGGAAAGCGTGGATCTGCTCCTCGAGCCGGTTGTGGCGTTGGAGGAGGCTTTCGGCCTGGCCTTCGTCCTTGCCATAGTCGTCGGACTTGACGAGCGGCAACTTCTCGCGGATCCAAGACTCGGCCTCGTTGGCGTCCTGAAAACAATTTTTGAATTGCGAGAAAAACAACTATCACCTTGTATTCAATAAAACAGCATTTTGAAAGACACAAACCTGGAAATATTGCTGCGCACGTTCGGCCTCCTGCAGCCAGTTCGACAAATCGTCGACGACCTTTCGCAGGGATTCCCAGCGGTGTTGGATCTGCTGGATGCGGCGTTGGACGTCATCTCGGCTTTGCCCGCCCATCGCCAGCTGCTCGCCGGCGGCCATGATCTCCTTGGTGCGTGTCCAATGCGCTTTCATCTCCGATTCGATGGTCTTGTGGAGGCGGGAAATGTTGGCCACATTCGCAATGTCGCCCTTCTGAAGTGCGTTCAGGCATAGCGACTCCTTCTCGGCCAGCCACGTCATTTCCTCCTCGTGATCCTAAAATTGCATCAATTATACAAGAAAAGTTTAACTAACGTACCTGAATGAACTGGAACAGTTCGCGCGCCTTGTGCAAGGCATTCCGGCGCTGCTGGCAGAGTGCTCGCAGGTTCTCGTATTGCGCATTGACGTCTTCGAGCTTCCGCTGGAGGATCTCGTGCTGCTCTCCCTTGCCGCGGATGTAGAGTTGGGCTTGGCGGGAGACGTTGTCGAGCCAGGCGCCGTGCGCCTTCACTTGACCCTCGACCAGCTCGTGGCGGCCAATCAGATCGTCGACGCCGAGGATGTGCTTGCCAACGTCACGATTACGAGCCACCGGCTGAAAACCGTGGATTAATTAAAAAAAAACGGAAAGTGAATTAAAACAAACTGATTTATCGCAACAAAATATGATTACCTCAAGATGCTTCAGCTCGCTGCTCAACGTGTCGATGTCGCGTAAAAGGCCCATCAGGTCGTTCAAGCCCATAATTTGCTTGCGCTTGGCCTCGAGCACCGACAGCAGATGCGCCCATTTCTCGGCGATTTCACGATCCCTAGAATATCATGTTTTCAAGCGCCAAAAATAAAAATACCTTGCCCGCACGCGGTCGGCTTCGTGGTAGTTGCCGGCGGAGAGCTCGCCGCAGATGCGCGTCAAGATGCGGAAGCGCTCCTCACGGGGTAGAATGTCGGCGCTGATAGCCTGATGTTTCTTGAGAGCCGCCTCGACGTCGCTGGCCGTGCGTCCGAGCTCAAGTTCATCGAGATGACCACCTAAACATGTTGTTTAGCAAATGAAGAGCGACAAACATATGAAAGTCAACGATTTATTGGCATTTCAAACATTTCAGTCTAGCCGAAAGGAGAAATCATTACCCATGTCCCTCAGCCAGTGATCGCGCAGCTCGGCCTTGCGGTAGAAACGTTCAGCCAACTGCTCGAGCTTCTGGAGTCTCAGCATTTCGTTGATGATCGCCGTCTGGCGCTCGTTTTCGGCGCTGTCCAATCGATCCCAGGCCGTCTCCAGGTCTTTCATGAAAAGGCCTAAAACAATATTGGTAGCCATTCCGCAAAGATTACCGTGCTGCGGAACGAAGGGACTCATGCCCATGGCTTTCCTCTTCGTCTGGATGTTGAAGAACAGCGCCTCGAGGTCTCCCTTCTCCTTGTACTTGGGCGGCTTCTCGATGTTGCGGAACTGGTTGAAGCGGACCATCTCTTCTTGGATGCCCTTCAGCGAATTCGGGAATCGGCGGTTGTTCAACATGCCAATCGTTTGCTAAACAAAAACGAATTGTAGGCCAAAAGCAAACAAGTATACCTTGATCCACTCGAGCAGATCGCTGGCGATGCCTTGGTATTCGTCTTCCATCTGCTCTTGTGTCATCAGCTTGCCAACGATCTATAAAAAGCAATAGAAACAGCAGCGAAAAGCTTACATTGGCAACACGCCTGGCACCGGTCATCTCGGTCTTCTGCTTGGCGAAATGATGGTAGTAGAGCGAGACGTACGTGATGATCGACTTTTCGTCGGGACGGCCCACGTCAACGTCTTCAGCGTACAGCAGCCTATAAATGGTTACACATTTAAAAATAAAATAGCCGCTACAAGCCAGTGAGAGCGAAGCGATTCTTCCTTGTTAGCGGGGGGACCATGGTAAGAATTTTTCCGGGAAGGGCCGTCGAGCAAAAATTGAAATTTTTACCCAAGTTTTTAACATTTCACACGGTTTTCGAATACAGACTACGTTGCAACACGACAAAAATTCGGAAAATCTGAGCATTTTGGCCAAAATGCCGGATTTTTAAGATAATTCCCCCGCAAACAAGGAAGCAGCAGCAGCGAAACTTGACAATGCAATACCTGGCGATATCCAGCTTCTTTTCGGCAATGTCGAACGCGTTGTTCAAGTTGCCCATATGGTCCTGCGGGTTCAGCCCGTCGTAGTGAAGCAGGTCCGGAAGATGAGCGTGGATGAGAGCGTTGAACGCAAGCCCGCTGCGCCACGAGCTCGCGAAGTTTTCCACCTGCTAAATGGTTTGAATTTCGGTAAAGATCTTACCTTAACGTTTCTGTAGCCGGCTGTCTTGCGCTGGCACCAAAGAAGTAGAGCATCCTTGGCGTGCTTCCGTTCACCGGTCTCTTGTTCGTCCTAAAAAAGAATTTGACGTTTTGTACCGGCTTCGCTTTCCTAATATTATCGAAACCCTTGCGACCTCTAAAACTCACCGCATCGATGACGATAGTGTCGATTTGGAAACGCAAGATGATGGTCCAGATGAGGCCCAGAATCAATCGTTCGTTGACGTCGAGAATGTCTTCAGCTCCGATGTTTTCGAGCTAAACAGAAGAAATTTGGGAATTTCGGGCATCCATACCTGACTCTTCTTTTTCAAAAAGTCGAGACCCTTGTTCAGTTTGCAAATTGAATGGCGATACAGCGTCGGAAGCACAAATTCCACAAAGCAAACCAGGCGCATGCCAAACGCATAAAAAGCCAGAAAATAAAGAATTGAATTAAAACGTTTATTAACGACAACAATCGGTTGATTCCGGTCTACGTTCCTCGCCCAAAAAGCTGTTTTTTTGTAGTCAAATCGATAAATAAATGTAAGAAACGAGTTTATCGACAAAAATTATGCCGGGGAAGACCCTTTTTAACAGAGAAAAACGGGTTTTATTCCTGATTTCATAGCCCTAGTACTATCATCACATCAATTTTTCTTCGAGAAAAGGGTCTTCCCCCACCCAATTCTTGATGATAAACTCGTTTCTGACCTTTATTTACCGATTTGACTACAAAAAAACAGCTTTTTCGGCGAGTACCGTAAACCTGAATTTTCCCGTAAAAAATTTACAAACAGTCGCAAAACTCAGCTATCTGGTCTTCCTTCAGCATCTTGATCACGATGCGGGCGTGCCCTGGGCTTCGCGGCTCAAGGTGGGCGCAGATTTTTCCAACCGGGAGCATTTTCTTCTTTTCAAGTTCCTAGAAAAAAAAATAAATTGAGTTCAGAAAGTTACCAATTCACGCGCGCGGCACTGTCCAGAAGTCGGGTGGACCATTTGATTGTGCTGGGAGGCGAAGCTTGCAGCTTCTACAGGTGAGAAGATGGCCGAGATGTACTTCCTAAAAATATTTGTGGTAACCTCAAAAAAGCATGCTGGGACCAAAATAATGACGCAAAGACTCACTTAAAAGGCTTGGGCGGCAAGTCGGTCCTGGCGAATGCTTCACCGGTGATCAGCCCTTTTGTGGACTTCGGTGGGGCGGACGGGGGGCGTGGGTACAGCCACTCGACCTAAAAAGATTTCCAGCAGGGAACATGAATTTACCATGGCTTCAAATACTTCTTTCTTTAACCACTCCTTCAGCTGCTCGGAATTATCGGGACTGCTGTACAGGACCAATTTTCCCCTAAATCGAAAATAAATGAAGCAAAAGATAAGCTACCCCCTCTCGGTGTCTTCTTCAAATTGCATCTTGTACGGGTGCTGTAGCTGGCAGCTTGGCAGCCCATCTTCGGTTGCAAGGCTCGGGTAGAACGTTGCGCTGATGACGTTGGCGACGGCTAAAGAAAACGTTTAAAAACAGCCACAATTAGCCAATGTCCTTCTCCAGAATAAGAAAAAAACCAACAATTGACGATCCGCAACTCGTAGGTGATGCCGTAGAACTCCGGTTCTTCCGGGGTCAATGTCCGGAAGCGCAGCTTGGACTCAGGATTTGCGAACGACGCGAACTTCTGCTTCATCAGCTCGTACGTCTCGTGGCCGGGGGATTTTTCGTCGATGGCTTGCACGCGACTGCCCGCCACACTTTTGCCATGCGTGAACCAGAGATCGGTCATCTAAATAGCGGGGTTGAAATTTTCGGGAAAGGGCTCACGATTTGGAACCGGGGGACCCATCCGGCATCCTTGAGAGGGGCGCACCGATGCTCACCGACCGCCTGCCAGTTCATTACACCTGAAAATTAACGTTAAAGTTGCATTTATAGGACAAAAGAACAAGGAGGAAGAGGAAAGAAATCACACAAAAATAATCTGCCTCCCGGGAATAGGTTACGAATGGGCTGGGCTAAGTTTGGTATGAGCGCTGTGAGAACAGACAATTTAGACATATTCCTAATCATAAAAACTACACCATTTTAATTAAAAAATTTAATTTTAGATCTAACAATCCCATAGAACCTTTAGGGGGATTCGCGGGGGCGGGGGAGACCCCAAATGCCCAAAATTTCGACTTTTTCAAACATTTTTCTCACATTTTTGAAAGTTTGGAGCTAGTTAGGTCTGATGGCCCCGAGAGCGTCAAAAAAATTTTGCCGAAACACGGCCGCATAAAAACCGGTGTGATGGGGAGTTTGATGCGCTGAGCTGGAATTTGACACTTTTAGGCTACAAAAATTTGATTTGGGGCTAAAAACTACAAACGTCGAAAATCGCCAAGTCACGCGAAAAACACCTTTCCGGGGTGGTCTTTCGCGCTGAATGGAGCGCCAATGGCGCTTATCCGGAAGGAGGGTGCCACTAGAGCAGACGCGCGAAATTATAAAAAAAACCGCGAAGTGGCGCAATTGCGACGAAAAGGAAGCAATTTCTTCTGCAGCAATTTCAAAATCCGAAACAATTTCGAATTAGCTACACCACATAGCTACATTTTCAGGCGACCATGAAATTCGGAACTGCGCGCGTCTACGTGATTAAGTAAGAGTAAATCTCCCTGAAGAAGAAACATGTAGGTTAACTTATATCAGTTTCCGGCCGTTTATAACACTGCGCGTAGCGGGTGATTAGATGAGTAAAAGGTACGTTAGCTAGCTTTTAGGTCAAATACGTGCGCTGGCGCTACGGAAGCAAAAAAAGGTTTTTGCAAAGATTATGCTTCTAAACAAGCTATTTAGGTGCGCAGACCGACAACTTTTGGGCATACACGTCGGATGCACCTCGTCTAGTGTACTACATCGAAAAAGCGATGCTAATACCCCTATTAATACTAAAACTATTTTATTACAACCCCCGTACGAACAGCTGAAAGAAGAAAGATAGGCGCTTTATGAGCGCAATCCGAGAAACGGGGGGGCGCAAACGAGCGCTTTTGCCAAAAGCGCGCCTGCGCGTCCGCTAATAGCATCGAAGTTGGCGCGCCCGCTGGCGCTTTACTATTTACTAACCGAGTAGCAAAACCAAGCGTGCGAACGGTGTGACATTTGCTCACTGGCCAAAACTACCCCAGGAAACCATTTTTGCGAAACCGACGAAACGGATAAGTTTGAAAATCGCAATAGGAAAATTTTTTGGAATTAGTTTGAAAAATGTCACAAGTCGTCGCGACCTGCAGCAAAACGAGTGAAAAACACGAAAAGGGAAAACGAGAAAATCAAAGACCGAGTACGCTTGACAACATTTGCCATTCTTTACGAATACGATCGATGGGGCGCATCGTAGAATTTCATAGCGAGAGAAAAAGCCCAATCAAAGCAACTGAAGTCGCCTCAAAATGTCTTTTGACGCGTGTAAATCGACGCCCTCGAAACTTTGCCTATCAAAATTTAAGCAGATTAGAACGTATGTAACCCGGAAAACCCGGAAAACTTTGCAAAATGACTTGCAAAAAGCGCGTTCAAAGTATCGTACTTTTTCGTATCCATTACAGAAACCACTTTTTGGGCGACAACCATAAACCCTAATCAACCCAAAGTGTTTTCAGTAATATATAGCTCCATTTCAACTAGAAACACTATCTAAAAATCAAATGGTTAAAAAAGTCGACATTTTGGTAAAAAAGCGGTTATTCTTGGTCCGAAAATCGATATTTTCTAGATTTTTTAACGCAAATTTGTGAACTTTAGACGCCTATGAATATTAAAAAAACAGTTTAGGAACCTTTCCACTATTTACCCTTGAAAAATTAGATCCAAAACCAAAAAAGATTGGTTCCCGTAGACAAAAAGTAGACTCAGACGGGCTGAAGCAGGTGTCGGGACACAGAACCTCCAATGCAACAACAGCCACTGCCGGGATGCGCTGTTGAAACTGAAAAGTTCACAAAATGTAAATTTCAGAAATATCCCCCGACATTGGCACATCCATTGGAAGGCACATTTTAGGCTTCTACTTTGTCGGTGCATGCCGCTGACCCAGCTCACTCGCCTCGTCAACCTGCCTGGTAGCTCACCCCAAAAAAAGCGTCCGGGTTTGTTTGTGTGTTTGTTTGTTTGCGGGTTTGTGTGTGTGTGTCTGTCCGTCTGTTCGTCTATTGACCAATCTGTTACGGCACTGTCGACACTAGTGTTGGACAGCACCCCAAAGAGAGCACCCCGGGGTGCTTTTGAAAGCACCCCGGGGTGCTTTTTTTTGCACCCCGGGGTGCCTGTAAAAAAGCGCCCCGGGGTGCCCTGAAAAGCACCCCGCCGCCCAGTGGGGTGCTCCAAAAAGCACCCCGGGGTGCCTTTCGGGGTGCTGTCCGGGGTGCTTTTTGGCAATGACTTCAATATATGAACTAGGCTTTTTTTGACCAAATCAGAAGATGAACATCATCTTCGTGCAGTTCGCGCCAGTAGACGCCAAACCGCTCGCAACTCATTTGGGGGTCATTTGGTAGCATTTCTTCGAGGTTGTTCAAGGTGGCGGACGATTTCGAGATGTTTTCTTCTAACCGCCCTAGCAGCCTGGACAACAACACTAGAGTTGTGTCAAGGCGTCTAAAATATGGCATTTTTCACGCTCTTTCCAACGGTATACTTAACGTTACACGAAACCGTCTGGGGACAGAGAGGGGAGCGTTTTAGTGCTGAAAGGCGTACTTGCCGAAGTTGTCGCAGCAGTAAAACCATCATATCTCGCTTGAAATTAAGTATTTTGGAATGCCAAGTACATCGCTCGAAAGAACGCGAAAAGTTCTATCCGTGTAACAAATTTCAGCTTTTGAGCAGCTTAGCTCAGCCTGCTAGGGCGGTTAGAAGAAAACATCTCGAAATCGTCCGCCACCTTGAACAACCTCGGAGAAATGCTACCAAACGACCCCCAAATGAGTTGCGAGCGGTTTGGCGTCTACTGGCGCGAACTGCACGAAGATGATGTTCATCTTCTGATTTGGTCAAAAAAAAGCCTAGTTCATATATTGAAGTCATTGCCAAAAAGCACCCCGGACAGCACCCCGAAAGGCACCCCAAAAGGCACCCCGGGGTGCTTTTTGGAGCACCCCAATGGGGGGCGGGGTGCTTTCAAAAGCACCCCGGGGTGCTCTCTTTGGGGTGCTGTCCAACACTAGTCGACACCTCCTTTTCGCCGCATCCTCCCGCGTATCCCGCGGATCGACGCGTGCTGGGCTCGCTATGGAAATACATCTACATTTTACGTGATTAGCGCAAAAAACTACCCCAGAAAAAGTTTTGGGTAAAAGCGCATTACAGTTTCAGTTTGCGCCAAGCTCTGTATGGGCTCCTGTACAAAGAAATTTAGAGATTCCGAAATTTAGAGATTCCGACATTTAGAGATTCTGATTTTTAGAGATTCTGACATTTAGAGATTCTGAAATTTAGAGATTCTGAAATTTAGAGATTCCGACATTTAGAGATTCTGATTTTTAGAGATTCTGAAATTTAGAGATTCTGAAAGTCCACCAGCTGGATTACGTCTCTGCTACTTTCTTTGTTGAAAATATTTCGTTTCAGCCGTTCTGCGCCCGGTTCTGGACTGTGAACGGGGTGCTCACTTTTTGTTTTCCAGATTTTTTTGCTGATTTCGAACCGGTTGTCAAAAACTGCAAATTAGTTCGAATTTAAAAGTTATGAAGCATTTAAGTGCGGTTTTTGGACACCGATAACTGATGGATGCCGTCCATTTCTTGTTTTAATGTTCTAACCAGGGTTGAAAAGCCGCTTCGCGACTTTTCAACCCTGGCCCCGTCTAACCCCATTTTATCATTCACTTTGCATAATTGTCCTGAATTCAGATGACAAAAATGAAAAACAACTTCTTCTGTGCCTTTATATAGCTGAATCACCACTTCCGGTCTATGCTAATTATTTCCTAACAGGAGCTTTCACAAAAACTTAAATTTAATGTCGAAAATGGCTGATTTTGTAAAATTTGTTATGTGTGCAGTCATCTCAAGACCATTGCGCACCTAATGACGTATCATACGTACCTTAAAATCCATCCCCTATCGAGATATCCTCCGCGGTGGATCGCCGTGTCCGGACAGACAGACGGAAGTGGATGCAAAGTGGCACACACACACACACAGACACTATTTTTTATAGTAGGATTTATGGCAAGTAGCTTATCTGATAGACAATTTGGTTCTGGTTCGTTAGCGGGGGGGTTTAATGTCGTCGATTTTTCAATGTATCTTTATTTTGTTGAAAATGGGGTTGATAAGTTATTTTTCAGGATTTTCGACATTTTTCGACATTCTCTTAATGCTATTCGATAGCGCAGCAAAAAAATAACTAAGGGTTATAGGAGGATTCCCTATCACCTGTTCGAAAATCATCTGTTCGAAAATCACCTGTTCGAAAATCATCCGTTCGAAAAATCATCTGTTCGAAAATCACCTGTTCGAAAAGACATCTGTTCGAAAAATCATCTGTTCGAAAATCATCCGTTCGAAAATCATCTGTTCGAAAAAACACCGTTTTCGAAGCAACAACTTTTCCAAAATTCTCGTTTTTTTGAAAAGACTTTTCATGACAAAAAAACAAAAAAAAAACAAACAAAAAGACATATTCATGAAGATTCAGGTTAAAGTTTTGGCGATGTTGTCGAGGAACTCGGCCATATATTCTTTGCAGTAGTTCTCGCAGAACTGCTGCTGCTCGTCGATGGTCACCCTCGGGCGCTTC